ATTTTCCATTGGGTGCGTTATGAGTTAATTGATAGGAAAAGGTTCTGTGCCAAAAAACAAACTAGAAACAATGTTCAGATTAGTAGATATGATTGTAGTTAGTACATCGAGAAGAGAAAGTGAGTACATGTTGTTATATACTCATTATTAGAATTGTATTATTTAAGTGTGTTAATGATTACATGATCTTATTAACCCTTTCAGACTACAGTTTTTCCATGTAATATGCTGCTGTGGAATACACTTTATTTCACAATGCAGCCAAAGTCAAGGAAGTATATACAAATAAGCCAGTGGTATGTTAAAATGCAAATAAAAAACCCCAAACCAATGGATATTTTGAAAGACCATATTTGGGTGTTCGCAATAACAATGTGATTTTCAATGAATCACCACAATAAACTTGCTTTTGTTGCTATGGAAACAGAGTTGATTATGAAGAAAAAAAGACTAAACACAGTTATCTATTTTAAAAATCAAAATTTTCTCTTTTAGTCATATTTCAAGATCTCTAAACCTAATAATTATTTTAAATGATTATTTTAGTCATCAACAAACAAAGATAATATACATGCAAAAGGTAAAATGTTTGTAAAATTCTAGTTTTCAACAAATAACAATAGTAACCTAACAATTAAAAATATCACAGAAAAAATCTTTACCAAAATGTAACAAGACTGACTTTCAATTGGTAATAAAAGTATTTAAAACAGTTTACAAATAAAATTTATAACATATATATAATACAACAGACCATTTTAGGTAATGGTCTCCATGGAAACAGATTTTAAAAAATCGAAAAATCAACTAATGTGCAGAAAAATCTTATCAATTTTCTATTTTTACACTTTAGTAGGAATATAGAATTAATTTGATATTCATTGAAATTGTGAAACATGAAAATGTGTATGCTTGTTACCATGGTAACCTTTTGAAAATATGGAATTAGTTCATAATGCACTGGAAATTCAAAATTTCAAGCAGATTAAATTCATGCATAAATATTGTTTATTTTTTAATATTATAACACTTAGAACTCAAATTAATTGAATAATCATTTAGTAGTTGCCATAGTTCAATGTAAGCATATTATACAAAATTCAATTCAAATAGATAGAATTCAATCTAAATTACAATACAACACTTATAAGCTTATACAAATTCAAAATCACATATTTTATGAGAATCAATTCAAGTTTTCTCTAACTGTGAACATTTAAAGACCCCTTGACAGTAGGAAATAAAATAAGAGTTGGCGAATATCGTGAGCCAAATGTCAAATGCTGTTGGTGAACGTGAACGTTCCATGTTTACATCCACCCTCCTTTCCCCCCATACATAGCCTAATTATGGCATCCCCCCCCCCCCCCCATGTCCCTGAAGTCTTCTACATCTATTTCACTGCATCCATTCCCTGGTCAGGAACATTGATACATTTCCTGCCACTTCCATGTTTACATCCACCCTCCTTTCCCCCCATACATAGCCTAATTATGATATCAACCCCCCTTCCCCCATATATTACAATATACCGCTGTCCTAGTAAAATCTACATCATTGCACACTGCCTTGTGTTGCTCGAATTCATCAGCCCAAATAGGGGCAGAAAAGTAAGAATAAAATGAATTTATGTTAATTTCAAAAGGTGAATATCAAATGTAAGCAATTGAATTCTATGTTTGTATCATCCAAACAGATAAAGTTTGCAATAAAATATTATATTTGATATTAAAGAGATTGTAAAGAGGTTTTCTGAACTTTATATTTGCATGGGAGACACTGAAAGCATCGAATTTGCACCATTCCAATTTTCAGTCAGACCTCTGTGATTCTAGCAACTCCACTAAATGTTTTATGACATCACTAATCAAAAGCTGCTTAGATATTATTAGTAGCTTTAGATTAGTGACGTCATAAAACGTTTGTTTTAGTGGAATTGCTATATAATCACGGACAGCTGTCTGAGAATTGGAATGGTGCAAATAGATGCTTTCAGTGTCCCCTATACACATAAAAGGTTTAGAAACCTCTGTACAATCCCTTTAAAGTGTGAGAGTCAATTTTTGTTTTTTATTCTTCTGTCACTTTCCTCTTTTTAGCTGGATCATCAAATTTATAATGGGCCATATAATGATAACGATGGAAACAAGGGTGGGGACACATTCTAACTTTGCAAACAGAACATCCGAAAGTTGTGTCTACTCTATTGATGTGAACAGTACACTTTGACTGACTGTCAAATTTGAAAGGCGAATGATCTAATTCACGATTTAAACGTGAATCTGGATTTACAACAGGGCCAGTTGAAGGACGACCTTGACGTGAGGTGTACGTGCGTCCACCTATCAACCCGTCAATAACTTTGACAAAAAAGTCTTTCTGAGTTATCTTTGAACCAATGTTAATTTTCTTATATAAAAGAAATGCCTGCACCACAGATAATCTTAGTAAATGAAAAAAAATTTGCAAATACCAAGTTTGTGATTTCATGTGACGTCTGTAAGTGGAGACAAGTTGATCAGAAAGATCTACACCCCCCATAAATGTATTATAAATGTCAATAGCTTTAGGCTTACTAATGTCAATAACTGTTCCAAATTTATCACGTCTGCTCACCATTATATCTGTAATACTGTCAGGAATGTTTGTAAGTAAATTCACTGCTCTAGTATCCTTCCATGTAATTGCCAATATATTCCCTTTCATCCGCTTCAAACTTTCGCCCCGTTTCAACTTCTTCACTTTGTCACATTTAGGTTTCATATCCAATGGTAAGCCTTTCCTATTAGAATTCACAGTTCCGCAAGATAAAGTTCTCCTTGATTGTAACTCTTCCATCAGTTCAATACTGGTGTAGTAATTGTCCATAAATAAAATATGTCCTTTGTGTAAATATTGTTCAGAAATATCCAAAACAGTTTGTGCAGTCTTGGAAAAAGTTGTATCACCACGCATACCAGTATACGGTATTATATTTAACACATATCCAGTAGTCGATTCTGCTAACGTAAATAATTTAATTCCCCATTTCACAGGTTTTATTTTAATATATTGTTTAATTTTCAATCGACCTTTAAATTTTATCATCGTTTCATCTACTGCTAATTGTCTTGAAGGTTGGTAAATTTCTTGAAAGCGTTTAATTAAATATTGTAAAATATGGTCCACTTTCCAAAGTTTGTCACTTTTATCAACAGTATTGGACATATTGTCAACAAAATGGAAGTATGCTAGTATTTGTAAGAAACGTCTACTTGTCATGGTTTTGTTGAAGCCTGGTGTTTGCAACAACCAATGTTTTGCCCAATAATCTGCAAGGCGTCCCTTCTTCTGTACAATTCCCGATGCCAAAACGAGACCAATCCAAGCCTTGAATTCTGGAACAGTGAGGTCTTTCCATTCGGGATGGTTTTCACCTTTTCTTGGGGGTTGTTGCCTACACTGAGAAGCATATCTGTTTGTTTCTATCACTATGTCACGAAGAAGGTAATCAGTGAAAAAAAGATAAAAAAGTTCTACTTCTGACTTCCTTGAAACTTCATCAAAATTATTTACACCAACAGTTTGTGAAAATCTGATATCAGGGGGGTTGTGAATATTCTGTGTCCATTGTTGTCTGTTTTGTGCAGGAAATTCAGGAATAATACCTCTATTTACTTCAACTTCATATTCAGTTTCATCAATTTCATTTTCACTGGCATTTTCGGTCAGAATACCGACAGCAAAATTTACATCATCATGGCCATCGGGCTTACTTCCAGGCCTACTTGTTGAACTGTCAAAATCGGCAGTAGAATCATTATCGGAATCGGAAGAGTTTTCATCAATGGGAATAATAAAATCAGCGTCTTCTACATCGCTGTCACGATCAATTGATTCATCGTCACCAGATTCCCAAAATGAAGGATCATTAACAATGGCCGAGGCCGATCTTTTGGCCATTATTTACAAAAAAAAACAAAAAGAATTGACAGCAGGCGGCCATTTTGATTGTTTACCAAAGGGGAATAACTCCTTTTCCAAGAACACAATTAATTCTTTACCAATGTAACGTAATTTTCGAAGATTTTACCGCAAATGCCGTTGTACGTAATATTACGTACTGTAGTCGGAACGGCTTTTTATTTTAGTACGTAATATTACGTACAGTAGTCTTAAAGGGTTAATCCCAGCTCGTACTGTTTATTGCGATCGAGTTCATACTCGTAGTCTAGAGACAATTTAATGTATATTGCTAATATTATTTCTAATCTATTAACTAGTTCCTCGTTGTTATCTGGTAAAAAAGTTATACCTTGCCCAGATGCCACCATATCATCGAATTCGTCTATTTCTTGTGTGATTGGTGTATAATCTTCTGCATAATCATCTACATCCTCTTCATCCTGTTCAATTACTCTTTTATATAGTTTAACTTCTTTCGATCTTCTTGTTTCGGGTCCCGACTTTCTTATTGCATCTAGAAATTTTGAGTATGCTACTAAATCCTTGTAATCGGCAATTTCAACATCCTCGCCATTCATTAAATCTATTAACCCTTTTGTTAATGTGTATATAAAATCTGTTGAGTCGATTTTGAATTGTGGTGAATTTCCACTAAATCTTATTCTAAAACCATTAAACAATAACCCCACTTCATCAATGATTGGTGAAATGCTCTTTGGTAAATCTGAGTCAGGGTTTGAAAAAAGACGTTTTATATCGTCTAATGTCCTAATTATAATACCATTATATTCAATCGGTTTGGGTTCTATATGAGGTGTGGGTTCTAAAGCTAATTTCTTTTTAATATCTTCTTGACTTTTTAATATGGGTTGAAATAGAGTTTGCAGATTTTCCATTAATCCGAGTTGTTGTAATCTGTTATTTTCAACTTGGGTCTTTATTTTATTCTTAGCTTTGATATATTCTCTATTTCTTTTTAAAATATTATTCCAATCCGTCATTTCAAAAAAAATAAAATTAACATATGCCGATCATAACTCTTTCACCCGCAGGTTTTCTAGTATTAACAAATACATATCCATGATCATCTGGATTTCTCCATTGAGCTTTACAAACTTTTTTAAACGTGTCTCTGTCCATTCCGTGATTTATCGACTGAATGATTTGAGATAAATCTTTGTCATTTAATTCGACTAAT